GGAAACTCCATTCTGTCCTGCCTGTAAGCAGTCTAAGAGGAAGGAAATGGAATTTGTAAGGGACAAAGAGTAGGTTATTGTTACTAATTGGAGGCTATAGGAGGAACTGAGATTTTTAGCATCTTCTAAATATTCTGAATGCCTTGCATTAAAGAGTTAGAGAAGGGAACGAAGCTTCGAAACATCTTGATTCAAAACCAAGGGCTTAATTACAACTTGCTTAACTTGTTGAGTGTCTCCTGTATGCCTCGGACTGTGTGCTAAGGAGCCGTATCTGGTAATAAGCAAGAGGGCTAAGGAGCCTACTGTCCCAACCGGGAAGACACCTCTTGAAGAAGTAATTTCGAGTTTTGGAAGTGCTGTCAAGGTAAAATGGAGGATGAATAATGCATGTGGATAGGTGCTTTCATGATCTAGGCCAAGGGTCAGCAAAGTTCTTCCAAGAAGGGCCAGATAGTAAATATTTTAGGCTTCAAGAGCCAGCTCTCTGCTGCGGATACTTGTGTTTGCTGCTGTAGCATACAAGCAAGCATAAACAGTCAGTGAACTCATGGATGTGGTTGTGCTCCAATATCACTTTATTTACAAAAACAGCGGTTTGGATTTGGCCTGTGGGTCGTAGCTTCCTGACCCCTGATTTGGGCTCTTCTTCCGCTTTCCTTTTGTTGTTGTGCACGCCCTCCTTCAGCCTCGTGCTTCTTTCTCTGTGCTTTTAAGATGGCTCCCTCAGCCTCCTGTAGCCCAGCTTCCCATGGCAGACACCAAAGCAAGAGTTCAGGGAGTGAGGAGAGCAACTCTTTCATAGCAAGAAGTTTAGCTAACCTCCCCTTCCAAATTGTTGGCCAATGTAGGATCATCTTCCCAGCCCTATATCAGGATCTAGCAGAGAGAGACTCGGATTCCCACCACTGGCTTGGCTGGAGCATGACACATCCCCTAGGTTGAGTACATTGCTGTTCCAGTGATATCAAGGTTCTTTGAGAGAGAAGAAAGGGGAAGGCTGATAGTGAGGTAGCCCATAGTGTTTCCCCAAGAACCGGGCCCCTGGCTACTCTCAGGTAGATCCTCTGACCAGGGACATCACAGCACCTGGAAGCATGTTAGAACTGCAGAACCTCTCACGTCACTACTGACTCAGAATCGAATCGGCATTTTAATAGGATCCTCAGGTGATCAGCAGAAGCATTAAAATTGGAGAAGTGCTAGTCTAAAGGGCCATTTTAAGGATGGTTAAACTGAGACTTGGAGAAAGTGTTTGGAATGGTTGGTAGCCCTGCCTTGACTCGTGTTCATAGAATGCCATTGTAATTCTTGTTTGTAACGGCATTTCCCATTTAAAATCTTAGTACACGTCATGGTATTCTGTGTTCAAAGTGAACCACAGTTATTTTGAGGACCCATCTCATTCCCTGTTTCCCCCCAGCATGTCCTAGCTGTGTTCGTGGTGTTAGGAGATTGAAGCACACGAAACAAAGCAAAACAAAAACCCAAAGTCCTGGGGAGTAAAGCAGTCTAAACGTCATTCTGTCTTGCCCATATTATCGTGCCTGTAGGTGACGGGGCATTTCCTCGTCTTTATGTTGCATGTAATCCCCCATCATTCATTATGGGCAACTGCATGAGTGCATATGACTGTCAAGTGTCCGGATTCTATTTTTGACTACAGGAAACTCTGCAGTTAGGCAACCCAATTCCATTTCAGAATCTGTTTCTTTTTTTGTTCTTGTTCATTTGATCTTTTCCATCGGTAGGCACATTAGCTTCCAAAGCATGAAGAGTGTTTTTCTTCCAGCTGTATTCTGCTCCAAGGGCGGAGGGCTTCCCCAGGAAATAAAAGCCTGACTAACTGGAAATGTGGTTGGTCTCATGGTACATCTTTGGGTCCCAGCCAGCAGGTCTGTCTGTGCCTACAGTCTTCTGTGCGAGACCTGCCGTGCATTCTGAGGGCGACCTCTCAACTGTCCCTTGGAATTTCATTAACTGCTGCGTTGTCGTGAACTAAATACAGGGAGAGGCCTATTGAAGAGCGTTCTTGCCAGCTGGGCAGGTCTCCCACTTGGCTGTTTTGAGAGCAGTTATATCCTGTCCTGTTGAAACAGGATGAACTTGGCCACGAGTGTCGGCCAGGAGCCCTCTATCCCATTTATGCGGCCATGCTGGCTGGGTTCTGAGAAGCGCATGATTTCATTTGGGAGCTCACTGTGGCTCGCTGGTAACCATCCGAGTCTGCAAAATGACGCTTTTTAAGCATGACCGGGACAAAATAACCCTGGGGCTGTATTTGGTGTGGCTTGTCTGTAAGGTTTAAAAGCTCACTATAGGATTTTCTTGCTTTATAAAATTGAGGCCTCCTTTAAAGTTGTGTCGCTTCTATGGTTTATAAATCGGATTATCTTCCTGTCGGAATGGTGGCAGCTTAATATTTCATAGAAACCGGAGATAAGATGCCACTGTAAAGATTTCGTAAGTGTTTGCTTTTGGTGACGTTGGCCATTTTCTCCATCTCCAGGTGGAGGATAACTTTACTCAAAGAGGGAGCGCCATGATGGGGTGGGTGGGAAAAGGGTTGTCAGGAAGCCATCTGTAACTTGGGCATGTTTTCTGTGTTGGCCACGCGTCTGAACCTGAAGGTTCAGGTCTTCATGACGGTGTGTAGGAAGGTAAGAGTCAGGTGATAGGTTAGACACCATGCCATCCTTCTCCTGCTATAAGGAGCATGGAACGACAGGTTAAGTGGTAGACGTATGGTCCCTTCATTTGTCAGCAGGACAGAGCAGGTTGCTTGGCCTTTAGATCTCGCTCTGATAGGTCGTACCTTCACTGCTTAAGTTACCCTCGGTGGCTCTTTCCCCCTTGTCTAGGCCTGGGAACATGCCCTAGGCCCCTTGAAACTATGATAGCCCGGGATTCCTAGCCTCACCTCCTGAATGAGGCAGGCTGACCGTGAGAGCTCAGGAAACACTGAGGCAATGGGAATGTGTTGGTTAGCCGCACAGAACGTGACAATTTTCCATCTCCAGTGAATGTAGAGTGTAACCCAATCCCATTCTCGAAATCAAATGTGTTCTTTTGCCTCCGTGTCCATTTTGTATCCCTTCCTTTCTGTTGAGAAGATTAAATTACATGAATTTGCTGAAAGAGAAATCATAGCAATTGTCATACTGCGTGAAGAGGGGATTTCTATCTTTCATGGATGGGACCAGTATTTCTTAGAATAAGTTGCTGAAGTGTATGAGCTTTTCAATTCGAGAATGTTGTCCGGGAGTCTCCATAAAACTAAACCTTTTCTACTCTTGTGATAATGTGACCCTGAAAAGACCGTGACACTGGTGGTTTAATTGTTTGTTTGTTCCCATTTTAGTTTTTGCTTCTATTTAAAAAGTTTTAGATTTCTTTTTGGAATTGCAAAGGTGTCGGTGATAAAGGGGTTGAAAATGTCTTATCTCTCTTCAGACTTGATATGTTTATGTAAAGATATCAACTAGATTGTGACAGTCTCTAGAGGTAATAAAATGTCATTCTGTGCAAACCAGAGCAATTGGAGTAGAGCACTGGTTCTCAAGTAAGGGTGATTTTTAGTCCACCCCCCTCCCCAGTGGGGGGTGACATTTGGCTCTGTGTGGGGACATTTGTCGTTGTCACAACAGGGGAGGATGTCACTGCTGGCATCTCGTGGGTAAAGGCCAGAGATGCTGCCAGCCATCCTACAATGCATAGGACGGATCCCACATCAATGAATTCTATGATGAAACACACCAGTAGTGCTGCTGTTGAGAAGCCTTAGAACAGCATAACCCAGACCAAATGTTCCGCCCCTCAGCTCTTTGTTATTTCACGTGATATTTAAGACTTCGCCAAAAACATGTCAGAAACGTGTCAGCCATTTATCCCATGCAAAAAGCATTGTGTTTCAAAATAACAAGTGTGAGTCTTCTGAGCCAAATGGTCTCCCAGAGGTTGTTCTCTCTACTTTTCAAAAACTGCGTTGCTTTGCACGATGGGCTCTTTCTTTAGTGTTTTTCCTTTTTAAACTGAGTGGTTTTTCGAATGATCCCGTATTTAGTCCTGAGGTTCTTTTCCTAGACTGGAACTCAACCTTTAATTGTAAAATGAATAGCCCATTCTGGTTCCATATGCTTTTCATTGTGCGCTTCCTTTGAGAAAAGCCCATTAATTGGGTCAAATTGTCCTTCAATGTGGGTTTTGCATTGTGGATCACTGCCCAAAAGATGATGAATTAAATTGTTAGATTCATTTTAGTTGTGACCTGAGATGAACAGAAATGCATTTGAAAAATGAGGAACAGGTTGTTTATTAGACACACGGAGTGCCACGCCTCAGACTCATTACAGACATTTAGGGCATGCTCTGTCTGTTCAGCCTGCAGTGTTTGAGGAGAAAGAGGGATGAGTGGGTTCTTTGCAAAGTGGCATCCGTTTGACCTTGAACACCATTAAAGTTTTCAAGTGTTTAGTTTCAGCTTCTCGAGTTTTAGTTTCTTTGTGTGTATCCTATGAATACAGATTCATGTATACCAATTTCTATTAAATAAAAGGCAATGAATTGTCAGTAATGAAATATCAGGTTTTAATTAATCAGTAATGCCCTTTCTTGTGCTTGGTACTTGCATATTGACATACTTAGTGATGAATAACAGAGAATGTGGTATTTTTTTCTTGTTGTTCCCACAAATTGCTTTTAATTCTCCATGATCAGGTTGACAATTGCCAGTGTAAGTATTTATAGAGAAAGATAAAGATGGAGCTACCTACACTGTGTCTATAAATACAGCCGTACATAAAAAATGTGATGGTGACAGCCATCTTGGCTGTAGCAGATGCGTGTGTTTTTAGGAGGATTTGAATATAAAAGATTTATATTTATATAAATTCGTTCGTGTAGTTTATGCCACTTCTTACTTTCAAGGGTGACTTTGAAAGAAATTTCGACCCAGAGAATTAGTCCCAACAAATTTCATTTGGAGGAATGTTGGCAGTTTTCTGGAGATCAGAGTTGTTGCGCTGGG